AAAATTCGCGAAAGCATAATTTCATCAATTTTCCATCAAATTTCGTACCTTTTGTTTTATTACCTTCAGAAAATGATTCTCTACCATTTCATAAGAAAAATTAACAAAATTTTTTTTTTTTTGAAAATTCTTGGACCCTGGTGTGCACTTTGAAATTTGGCCTCTGGACCTTGAAAGGGTTAACATACACCAAAAAATGAAAGAAATTTAACAATAAATAATGGAGTTCACTGCTCAGCCATTAGATGCCCCTTAAAACTCTTAGAACTTGCGCAAAGTTAGTTTTCTCTGTTGTTCAAGGTTTTCTCAGTGTTATTCAAGGTTTTTACATTTAGTTTAGTATTACACTTTGCATTCTATGGTATAATTAACTATTTTTGTGCTTAAAAATCTTAAAAAAACAATATTTACATACAGTTCGTAGGGGTCTGGAACGTATTAATTGTATTTACATATAATCCAATGGGGATATTAGGTTCATGCCATGATCAAATCAGGTCGTGACAGGAGTTTTGGAACAAATTATGGTCATGACCAGAGGTTCCACTGTATTTACACTGAATATTTCTCTCTCTATTTCTCAAAAATGTTGTAAAAAATTTTACACTGTTTTTGTTTCAGTACGTTATTTTCAGTGTTTCACCTAGAATATATTTTTCATGAGAGCTATCTGACCCCTTTTTAAAATCTCTCAAAAATTAGAATTGACTTACATTATATATAAGTAAATAGTTTTTAGGCAGAGTGAAGCTCAGGTAGATTATTTTCCAGTAAAAGTAGACAGGTAAGTGTAATTTTATCATATTTGTTAACATATTTATGGATGGGATTGTTAAGAGGCGATTGTTAGGGGTTTTGGGAAGAGTTGTTGGACTGAGATAACTTAGGTGCAAAGGGCGAGTTATCACAGTTGCATTGTGCCAGTGATATAGTATTTTTGGAAGATTCTGAGAAGTTGCATAAATCGGTGAATGAATTTGAGAGGGTTTGTAAATGAAAGAAGCTAAATCGAACACAGGAAAGAGCAAGTTGATGAGCACAACAAATAATGTAGGCAATGAAAGGTTAGATGTCAGATTGGAGATAGGCAGTATAGAAGAAGTAAATGCCTTCAGATATTTGGGAGTGGCCTTGTCGGCAGATAAGTCTATGAAAGGTGAAGTGAACTGTAGAATTGATGTGCTTTGAAGAATTTGTAGAAACAAATACCATTATCCAGAGTATAGTGGCAGCAACATTGTTGTGTGGGTGTGAAGCTTGGGTTTTAAACACTGCACCAAGAAAGTGGCTGCAGAATGAGATTTCATGCTTGAGAGCACTGTGTGGTTTAAATAGTATTCAGAGCATTACTAGCCTGAAGATTAGGAGACAATGTGGAGATTTCCAAAAGTATGATGCAGTGGGTTAAGGAGGGGTTGTTAAGAAGATTTTGAGATTTAGAGTAGATGGAGCAGAATAGGATGACTTAGAGGGTATATAAATCTGGAATGGAAGGAAGGGTAAAGGTTATCCTAGGAAGGGTCTGGAGGGAGGCTTGTGGAATATAAATTCCCCTCCCTGCTGGGGAGGGGAATTTATATTCTACAAGCTTCACCTCCTTTCTCACAATGCTGTTGCATTGTGTGTGAAAATCATGCCTGTGAATGGAGTAATCAGTGACTTCTCGAAGCTAGCTTGAGCTACTGCCATTAGGACCTGCCTGCAGGTCAAATTTATGGCAATCCACTCTTTGAAGGACTCCTTCAGTGAAGCTTCAAAACTACTGGACAACTCTTCAATCAAGACACTACAAACATGGCAATTCACAATATCTCTGTCTATTCTTGAAGGCGAAACATTCGGTCTTGGTGAAAAGACTGGACAAGATCGTCACCTCTCTCTCTGCTGAAACACTAAAGATGTCTATTGAGGAACAAAACACCTGGGCCTCGGTAGATAGTATCACCAAGATCCCTAACGCCTCATCTATTCTAAAGATCACATTCTCAGACATCTCCATGGCTGCCCAAGCTCTCTCTAATGGTCTGGCCATCTCATATTACCACATTCACCCAAGCCATATAGAACCAGAACGTTTCACACATCTCCCACTGCTGGACCTTCTACTCGTATAATCACACCACCAAGGACTGCTCCATCAAGGATACAAAGTTTTGTTCAAAATGTGGGAATGATGGACACAAATTCAGATCCTGCACCATCACTATGGCTCCAACATGTCTTAACTGCAAGGGCAATCATCATACCCTTGCAGCTAAGTGCCCACTCAGGGAAAAAATCATATCGAAAAAAACTAAAGAATATCTGAAGAACACCTCCAATTCACTGATATACACAGCAATAACCAAACTACAAGCCGACACCACCAAGATTCTACACGCCACTCTACAGACACCTTCGCCCAGCAACTCCCTCTCTCCACTCCTCAATGGTGCTCCCTCCAAGGTGCTGTACTGCATGGTGCATGCACACCTTGCAAATGCAGCCAACCCAAGCACTTTCAACAACATTATCAACGAACTACTTATTCCGTCTGAACAACATGCCTGCCTTCAATTTCCCGGACTCCACACCTTCAGCCGACATCCTCAAGATCCTTCCCAATGTCGTGAACTTTACTGCACCTGCAGACCTGTCTCCTGACCAAGCAACTGCTCCTGTAACTTTTGTAATCACTTCCATCACCGACAACGATGTTCATGCTGCCTCAACCACCATCTCCCACGCCTCTCAACCTGCTGTTATACTGTTACACCTCTCCACTGCTCCTGTCGACCCTCAGTCACCTACTAACACCATTGTAGACTCACTAAATGAATCCACTTCAGAAGAAGATAGTGACGACTCCAGTACACCCTCATGGGAAAACCTTACCTTCTACACTTCTCCATCGAATGCTGACACCATGACCTGCACTGAGCTCTACAAAGGCCTCAGTGCTGGAACAGTCAAGTATGCCTGCGAATCACCTCTTTGCTTCACACTCATCCAAGTGTCTTACTTAAACTCTCTTGATCTTTGGGGTAAAGGAGGCTTGGAGTATTAGGAGCTTGAGCATCTAGCAGGAAACCGTAAGATTTATACACTTCTCACAACACTTCTATTGAATGAGTGATGATGAAAGTATGAGTGAACTCACCCAGCTGTAGTGAGAAATGGCCAATGTGGTAAAAAAAAAATATTGTTGATGTATATCTTAATTTATGTAGATACTAAATGTTTCAGGGACAAGTTGATAAATTACACATGTGCAACACTTGGGTATCTTTAGGTACCCAAGTGTTGCACATGTGTCTAATTTGTCATCTTAATTTATGTAGAGTTTCGATTAATTTTTAGACATACCCATGTTGCATTTGCTCACAGATCGTACTTGATGCCAACATGTTCTGGTGGTTTCATTTAAAGTTCTTAGCTTAAGTTGTTTGATTTTTTTGCTTTTTTCTCTTTTGATGCAAACAAATTGCGTGCTGAATTGCAAATTGCTTTTTTAAGGTAGTATTTTGTGTTTGCTTTCAAAATACTTTGTCTGGAATAATTAAGATTTACAATAATTCTCTAAAAATTATTTTGTTTACTTTTCGTAGGAGATCACATGAATGTCTGATTGTGCTAATAGAATATTTTTTATTCTGTATTTTTCATGCTGTAAAAAAAATTGGTTTTCTTTTTTATGCTGATTGACAATTCCCAGAGCTACTTCAGTATGACACTGTTTCTAAATTCATGATATCCTGTTCTCTGTATTGAATCTCATCTTGGGAACCCATTATTGAACTTGACACTAGTGACTTACATATACATGTACAGTAATAAGGAATGGAGACAAATGGAGCAAAGTGCTGAAAAAGATTCATTTGCAGAGAAGAATGTTATTGAGACATTTCACCTGTGGACAAGCTTCTGCAGTCAGTATGCAGGTACAGTATATACAACAAACAGCTCTAATCCAGTCATGGAATATAATCAAATGGAATCAAGAAGCTTTCACTTTAGCCAACCCAGTATCCCAACTTGTTTTACATAAACAGGTCATGGAAAAAGACTGGTTGGTAGGCCACCTGTGGTGCTCCTGTCTTGCAGTTCACTCCACACAGTGACCTTGTTGACCTAGTCACTCGTCTGACTGTGCTTAAATTTGCTTGTTGTACATACCTGCATAAAGAGTGAAGAAGCTTTCCCATAGGTACAACATCTCAGTAAAGTTCACTATAAGTCTGGTAAATGTGGAGCAGACACAGCTGTGTGGTACAGGTGGTACTAGTATTGTTTTTTTTATTCAGCATGGCTCATGAGTCTACTTATGTTGGCTCAAGGTGTCTTCATAGTGTGCAACAATTGAACATGTAGCAAATTGTTCCCAATCTTGTGTCATTGTTCAGCTCATTCCACTTCTTTACTACTGTTTTGCCAAAGAACAATTTACCAATAATGTATGCCTATGGCTCATTCGGCTATGTGATTTCTAGCCGTGCCCCTTTTTCTTGTAGCATCCTAGGTCAAGAACCTGTCCCTGTCTATTCCCACAGTATTTTTTATGTTGTGATTATATCCCCTCTTGTTCTTCACTCTAGTAATATGAGGCCTAGTTCTTATATTCTTTACTGTATGTTTGAGAAGGGGTTTTACTATGGTTATGTACACTCGGAATGATTTTCACGTATGTGGTGTATATTATCCTGAATTAATATTTGTTGAGTTTTTTGGAAGGTATAATTATTTTTTGCGAGTGCATGTTTGTTTGTGTATAAATATATGCATTCTAATAATATTTGCATTTTCCCCTTCTTGTCGAATTTTTCTAGTATTTTAGCTGAAGTTATAGTGAATGTATGTTAGTAGTAATTTTCTGACTTTGAGTGATCTGTAAATGCTTGCAGTGCTTATTGTTTCATACTAGAATTAATATTTGCTGTATATTTGAAGCTGTTGTGAGAGTGGTTTGGTTGCAGTAAGTACTAGAGCTGTAGTGTACGGTAACCTGGTCTGCTTGTCTATAGGCAAGACTGCGCCTCATGTCTAACTCTGTGCCTGACCTGAAGTTACGAGGTCGCAGGGCATCATTACAATCTCCCTGCGACGCTACAACTGCGGTAAATTATTTATGTATATGTATTTGTATTACTGTTTTTCTTAATTTTTGCCTCAGCTAAGTTTTGCTGTATTTTTTTAGGTTGCTTTATTTACACATCTGATGCTATAGGCAGCTTGCTTCCAGCTAACACATTTAAAGTGTATAGTAGTACACTACTCATAGTTACTTATAATAATTACTTGAGGAGTTATAAGTCACAATACCGTGGCTGGAAGAGTTGACAAATAAGCTGCACTCAAGCAACTCATGACAATGTTTTGATCCAAATTAACCTCGTAATGTTTCCCTCCTAAGTGATGCTTCTTTGTGAATTCTGCTGTCTATAATAATTGTATTTTTGCATTAATTTTCAGGTATGTACATTACAGTGTTATACATTGTTATTAAATTTTTAAATCAAGTTCATCTGTGTGTACACATTATCTGATGTTTATTTTGTACTTCATTTTTCACAATATAAAGTGACAGATTAGATTCCAAAATTTCTCAGACTTCAAATTTGTTTTTTAAATCTTTCCTTTAACACAAGACGAAAGATGAACAAAAATGAAAATATAGTTTTAAATCCTCTCATACTTCAGTATTTTTTTTTTTTTTTACATAGCATATGTTTACAGATTATATAGTTAGCATATCTTCGATAATTTTAGTTTTCTGAATAAAAAAATGCAGGAAATAAATTCACAGTACAGTATTTACCCCCCAAAAGTTGTTCTTTGTTTCAGATCAAAATTAAAATAATTACTGTTGTCTTATGTTAACCCTTTGAGGGTTTTGGTCGTACTAGTACGTTTTACGCGTAGGGGTTTTTGACGTACTAGTACTCATAAATTCTAGCGGCCTCAAATCTAGTGGGAGAAAGCTGGTAGGCCTTCATGTGAAAGAATGGGTCTATGTGGTCAGTGTGCACAGTCTAAAAAAAATCCTGCAGCACACAGTGCATAATGAGAAAAAAAAAAACTTTGACCATTTTTTTTTAATAAATCAGCGACTTTGCAGTGTATTTTCGTATGGTATTTATTGTTGTATTCTAGTTTTCTTGGTCTCATTTTATAGAATGGAAGACATATTACAGAAATTGAGATGATTTTGACTGGTTTTTACAATGAAAGGTGCCTTGAAATTGAGCTCAAAGTAGCAGAAATGTTCGATTTTTACCAAACTTCAAAAGTAAACAAATCGTGCCAAGCGTGCAATACACGTCAACTGGTGAGTCTAATATTCTTTTACAAGTGCACCAATAATATTTATACCATTTTTTACACTAATGCAGTAGTCTGCATAACAGTAAATCTTATATTTTTTGTGAGAATAAAAATTCAAAGTGGAAAGCAAAAGGATATAAGAGGGCCCTTGAGACGTGACTAATGACTAGAGGAAATGTCATTTTAGTGCCAGGAATGTCTTTCTTGTTTATTCTGGACCCTATTCGGAAATTGGCATCTTTTGAAATTTGTGTGAAATTGGCAAAATTGCTAAATTCTGACCACTGTACTGGATAGTTGAATTTATAAATGGGTGGTTTCTTGCACCCATTCGATAGAAAAAATGGAGTTCTAGCGAAATATTCATGTTTTTTGTCGACTAGTACAGTGAAATTGGCCGAAAATGGGGCTCAAAGTGGGCAAAATCGCCGATGCGTAAATATCGCCGAGACCGCTAACTTTGCGAGAGCATAATTCCGTAAGTTTTCTATCAAATTTCAAACTTTTGGTGTCTTTATGATCGGGAAAAGATTCTCTATCTTTTCATAAGAGAAAATAATTTTTTTTTTTTTAAATTTGGCCGACCCTGAGAACGAGTTTCGGAGAGGGCCTGTCGACCCTCAAAGGGTTAATGATTACAGAATATTGTTATTTCTTAATTTAATTGTTTTAAGGAATGTTTTATTGTTCTTATTGATAGATGAAACAAGACAGGATGTGCTAGGAAGGGTTAGGTGTAGGGGATGTGCTAGGAAGGGTTAGGTGTAGGGGTTGTGCTAGGAATGGTTAGGTGTAGGGGATGTGCTAGGAATGGTTAGGTGTAGGGGATGTGCTAGGAATGGTTAGGTGTAGGGGATGTGCTAGGAATGGTTAGGTGTAGGGGATGTGCTAGGAAGGGTTAGGTGTAGGGGATGTGCTAGGAATGGTTAGGTGTAGGGGATGTGCTAGGAAGGGTTAGGTGGTGTAGGGATGTGCTAGAAAGAGTTAGGTGTAGGGGATGTGCTAGGAAGGGTTAGGTGTAGGGGATGTGCTGGGAAGAGCTAGGTGGTGTAGGAAGATGTGCTAGGAATTGTTAGGTGCAGGGGATGTGCTAGAAAGGGTTAGGTGTAGGGGATGTGCTAGGAAGAGCTATGTGGTGTAGGGGATGAGCTAGGAAGGGTTAGGTGGTGTGGGGGATGTGCTAGGAAGAGTTAGGTGGTGTAGGGGATGTGCTAGGAAGAGTTAGGTGGTGTAGGGGATGTGCTAGGAAGAGTTAGGTGGTGTAGGGGATGTGCTAGGAAGAGTTAGGTGGTGTAGGGAATGTGCTAGGAAGAGTTAGGTGGTGTAGGGGATGTGCTAGGAAGAGTTAGGTGGTGTAGGGGATGTGCTAGGAAGAGTTAGGTGGTGTAGGGTGTTGTGAATAAGAAATTTTTTAAAGAACTTCAGAATACAGTGGACCCCCGATTAACGATATTTTTTCATTCCAGAAGTATGTTCAGGTGCCAGTACTGACCGAATTTGTTCCCGTAAGGAATATTGTGAAGTAGATTAGTCCATTTCAGACCCCCAAACATACACGTACAAACGCACTTATATAAATACACTTAAATAATTGGTCACATTAGGTGATCGTTAAGCGGGGGTCCACTGTATGGCCTGTTACCATTTATTTCTTATGCAACAAGATTTTTGGATCCGAGTTATTTAAAGGTATTTTAGAGTCTAGGGGAAATAATTTCAACTGGGAAACTCCATAGAATAATATTCAAATTTATTAAAGTATTTAAATACAATACTTTATCTTCTCTCTTAATACTTTGTACAATAAATTTACCATATACATTTCGTTCAAAATCATGGAAATGTCACATTAATAAGGAAGTTTAATTATTCTTCCTGTAATTAAGACTTCAATAACAAAATAGCGATAATAACAAAATAGTGATGATAACAAAATAGCGATAATAACAAAATAGTGATAATACCATGGTATTTTTCATATATTAACAGATAATAATATAACGCCGAAAGTCTCTATTTTAGCTATAAACGGGGACTTTCGCGCTATAATATTAAGTGATGAACATATTCTCTTACAATAGTTAAATAACACAGGATAACCAATTTCGAAGATATAACACCCCCTCCCCCCCCCGTACGACAATAGGTCGCAGTAGGGAGTTTGCAAGCGTCGTTGGTAATATCTCCTTTATAGTAAGCGTCCTCTTGGTAAATAAGGCATGTAGGACGACGGGAGAATGGAGAAGAAAGAACTCGATCAGCATGATTATTTGCCAGAGGATGAGCTTCTGGAACAATGGCCGAAAGAACTATCTGGAGTGGCTTCCATCACAATTCGAGAATAGGAGTCTCAGACATGACTGTCAGGGTCATCCATGTGGACTTAATACTTCGTCCCATCAACGAAATGGCTTTCATAGTCATACTGTCAATATAAAAGAAAATCATTAACAAAAATATATAATATATATATAAATTAGGCTCTAACTTAACTTTACATTTTAAGGTATACATTTTTTTTTTTCAGGGGCGAGAAAGGGCATCAGCAATTATGTTAAGGGATCCACTTAAGTGTTGAATACTAATCAGATAAGGTTGGATTCTCAGAGCCCACCTGAGGATCCGGGTGTTCTTTAATTTCATAGAATTAATATAAATTAAAGGGTTGTGATCAAAAAATACCATAATTTTATGGGGGGAGGTTCCCAGATAAATGTCAAAATGTTCCAAAGATATTACTAGGGCAAGAGCTTCTTTCTCTACAGTGGCGTAATTCTTTTGGTGACGTTTCAACTTTAAAGAAAAATAAGATATAGGATGCAAAATATCAGTAGAAGGGGATTTCTGAAGTAACACTGCTCCCACAGCATAACCGCTGGCATCGATGTGTAAATAGAAGGGTTGATTAAAGTCAGGACTTTTCAATACGGGTGACGAAGAAAGCAACCGCTTCAACCGATTAAAAGCTATCTCACAATCTTTCGTCCAGCAAAACTTCATCTTACTACTGGTTAACTCAGTAAGAGGAGATGCAACCTGAGAAAAATTAGGACAGAAACATCGATAATAACCAGTCATTCCAAGGAACCTCTGTATAGACTTTCTATCTTGAGGGATAGGAAACTCGGCAATGGCCCTAACTTTTACATCAACAGGATGTACCTCACCCTGACCTATACAAAAACCGGGGTATTTAATCTTGGCTTGTCCAAACTGACACTTGGCTAAATTTATGGTGAAGTTGTACTTTTCTAACTTCTTAAATAAGGTTTCCAGGCGAATTAAATGTTGCTCCCACTCATTGCTATATATAACAAGATCATCTAGATATGCATCCACTCCTTCTAAATCATTGGTCAGCAGGTTCATCAGGTGCTGAAAGGTAGAGGCTGCATTACACAACCCGAAGGGCATAACACGATAATTGAATAATCCGCCTTGTATAGTAAATGCGGATATTTCTTGGGCTTGCTGGGTAAGCGGCACTTGGTAATAGCCCCTTAATAAATCCAGGCGGGTGACATAGGCAGCTCCTGATACTCTGTCTATTAGATCATCAATACGGAGTAGTGGGAAACCATCTGGTACAGTGAGAGCATTAACCTTACGATAATCAGTGCACATTCTAGAAGTTCCATCAGGCTTGGGAACTAATATACAGGGCGAGGCCCACGGTCTTTTACTCCGTTCTATGAGTCCATGGGACAACAAAAATTCTACTTCTTTGTTTAATGTTTCTTGTTTGAGTGAACTTGCCCTATCTGGAGTTTTATCTGGAGAGAGTTCCGGGGGT